AAATATATCACAATTTGCATTGGATTTTACATCACACAGGAGCACCTAAAAAATATGATTGTACAGTAAAAAAAAAGAAAAAAAATGAAATTTTGAAAGAGCGTTTTTAATGAAGATTAAGAAATAAGTCCGATAGAAAGGAAATAGTGAATGGATAATTCATCATGGCAACCAGCGATCTGACAGGCATTGGCTACTGAGACAAATGACGACTGAACAGCCATTAGATACTGTAATAGTATATTTCGTAACGAATGCAAAAAACATTTTTTCACGAGTTACGAACAATATTTTTCATCACAATGTGGTGGAAATTGGAGTTTTAGGCACGCGGAGCGTGCCGAAAAGTTCACTTTTCGTCACAACGTGATGAAAATGATTAATTTGTAATTTCCTCCCTATTGGGTTTATTTCCCAATATTATTCAAAAATGCTCTTTGAAAATGTTCAGTTTTTTTCATTATTTTTTTAATTGTACAATCGTAATTTTTGGAGACTCCAGGGCTGTGTCAAAGTGAATAGCAATTTCAGACCATTTGAGATTATTGAAATAAAAAAAAACCAAGATCACGTTGGAAAGATAATCCACCCGGGCCTTAAAAAAAACAAATAATTTTTGGAATTTTTGAATTTTCTCTTCCAAAGTGTACTTTTGTTTTTGGCATTGTAATAGAACGGCAAAGTTAATTGATTTTCCTGGCATCCTAAAATCCAGCTTCTCGTCACAATAACATTTATATTAATTAAATTTAAAAGATCATACTCCATATAAGATGATATAGATGACTAATTTACTTATTAAAATTACTCTCATCTTTTATGATCTTTTTTTATCAAAGTTATTCATGTTTAACGCCAAGAGCCAGTTCTTCTGAAACGGACCAGTATTTATAGGCCTGTTTATTCAAGAATCTGCAGGATATATTTATTACTTTCTTCAAAATAGAAACTTTTTGGAAAAATAAGGAATAAATTTTGATAAATATTATTAGTTATTATATTCATTTGAGCTATAAAAAGTGATGACCTATTCACGTAAAGTGTCCAAAACTCCTAGGAGAATCAACATAAGAAAGAAGTGACAGGAAATTTAATAGCTGTAAAATGAAAAGGTTTATACCCTAATAAACAGACAGACAGGATTGAGCATATCTCAAAGACGGAAGTTTTCGAGATGACATGGTTAAATACTTAGGGGATCCAGAGGTAATTTACCTCTGGGTCGTAGAAAATGTCAAGATGTGTCAGACGCCTACTTAACCCTACAGTTCCCTTTAATCTCGAGCAACAGGGTTCATAAAAATTATCAAAATTTCTTGTGGGTCAAACTGGAGAAGCAGGCGGATTCGAAGCATCAAATGGGAGAGAAAAGACACAAGCAGCGCGACCAAAACCATTTGACAGATTACATATAACTGCTACCCTTCACGTATTTTTTTTCTCCTATTTTCATTTCTACTAATTTTATTTATAATTTTATTAGTAGGCTTCCGAATGGATCCCAATGTATGTTTGCAAAAAATGAAGGCATAAGGATTACCATTTTTTGAAAATATTAAGGCTAATGTCACTCATACTTCATGACAAAGAATGAATTTTTTGTCCTCAAGAATTTTGGGTGAATTGTTCCATCTTAAGAACTATCAAATATATCGATCTGAAATTTGATATGGGAATGTTCCTTGATAATCCTAACTAGAAGCCAAAGTTTCAAAAGGTTTCCCTGACTTTTACCCATGGCATAGTGCGCAAAAGTGAATTCCGACCAAAAAAATACAGGAACGACGATATCTCGACAAATTTCAATGAGATGGTATCGATATTTTGTTCTATCTAGATAGATGATATCATAACGCACATTTTGAAAAAAAATTGAACCCGGACCAATAGTTTTTGAGATATTGAGTACAAAGTTGAATATCTCCGAAACTACTGTTCCGATTTCGTTTATCCAGAATCTCAAACTTTGTTACCATGAGACCTAAAATCATGCCAAATTTCAAGTTTCTGTCTCGATTATTGTTTAAGTTATCGAGCGAACAAGCAATTTCAGCGAAAAAATGAGAAATCGAGAATAAAACTACATTGCTCAGGGTGTAATGATTCGTTTTCAATTCAATTAAATAGGTATCATCATGATAAGTATTTTGAAAAAAAAATCGAATCGGTTTAATGGTTCAGGAGATATCGGGAAAAAAAACGATTTTCGAAGAATCGCTATATCTCAGGAACAGCTCAACCGATCGATCTGAAATTTAGCACAAATTTGAGTCTCAATAGTACCAATTAGCAGCCAGAATTTTAGCATCTTTGCCTCAATAATTCTCAAGTTATGGGGACAGTTCTGGCCATAGAAACACATGTACACACACATACCTACACACATACAGACATTTTTTAAAAACGTCATTTCTTCACGTTTCATGACATTTCTAGGCATTTTCACCCAAAACTAAGAAATCGAAAAAAATCACGATTACAAAGCTGCCATTCAGAAGCAAAAACATCCGAAAAGTTTCTCACAAGAGAAAAGAACAAAATTTTTTTTAATGTCAAACGATCACTTCTTTTTGATCCTTGGGATCATTTTCATTGTTACTCCTAATTTGGCCTCTATGTATATTTGACCCCCAAAAAATTTGACTATTCTGATTATGCCATTCGCCTTTTTCGGTAGGTGTCCGTCAAAAATGTCAAAAATGTTCGTCAAAAGTGTCAAAAATGTTGGAAATACCTGCATAATTTACCTTGCTCATGATAGGTCAGAGACCAAGTAATTTGCCTCAGGTAATTTAATAGTTTAACTCTGACATCAGATGAAAATTTGAGTGGGAAACTTGCATGATTTTTTGTTTCAATTCTCTAATTTCACGGTTGGGACTTGAGTGAGTAATTTTTCATTCACAAATGTTGGAGATATTGCTTTTTGGATCGCGTAAATCATGATTTATATCAGTGTGAGAGGAGTAGGAAACTCTTCAATGTATTCGTGCATCATAGGCCCGATTGTACACGTACTTTACCACAATAGCTGTTTTTGTCATTCCGGCCGTAAGGCAGCGTTTCACGGACGCTTCGCGACAAAAAATATTGTTCGTCATACGGCAAAAAAAAAACTTTTCTGACGAATATGATTGAATATACTATTTCGTCACAAGGCCGAAAAAAACTTTTTTGACGAGTGTGAGGGTTGCAGATCGAGGCGAAGCCGAGGAACGAGTCAGAAAAGTTGTTTTCGGCCAAGTGACGAACATAATTTTATGTCATTAGTCCCGATAAACCGCTTTTCCGGCCCAACGACATAAAATAGTGTATATCACACGGCTATAAAAGCATTATAAAGCCACATTCGCCAGATAATACTTTTATCGCCAAATGACATAATATCTTATTTTCTTCACAATGGCCGTAAACGACATTTGACAGATACGAAGTCAGTGTGATGAAAAATGGTGAAGAGTGGAGTATTGTGGAACTGTTCAATGAGTTGATTAACTATTAATTTTTTGAACGTTGAAGATTCCAGATGTTTTGGAACAGTTGATGACGTCGCATATGCAGTCAAGCTCTGGATTATTAATCAGGGAACTTAATTTTAACGCGCACCTTTGCCAATGACGGTAACTTCTCATTTTCTTCACACTTGGCCAATAAAGCGTTGCCCAACCATATTCGCGACATCATGACCGAAAAATTGCTCTCGAAAATGCCTGATTTTCAATCAATTATCATCATACAACATCTGAGCAATATTCCTCCATGATTCTGTTTAACTATTCATACATAATGACAAATATGTGAATTGAAGAATTAGGAAGAACTGAACTTCATACAAGCTCCCTACTACTGTCGGTGTCAAAAGTAGAGACCACTCGAAATAAACGTCTATAACTCGACGAAAAAAAATCGTAAAAATATGGGACCAATTGCACTATGTAATATAAGTATTTCACTCACCCAATACGAAGTTTCAAGTTTTTCATTTGATTAGTTTATTTATAATCGCTGTGAGAAGCCGAAAAACCCCCGATTTTCAGGGTCCGTAAAAGTCGGCAAACTTTGAACTGCTACCATACGTATGAAATTTTTTTTTTTAAATCGTCAATTTTTCCAGAGATTTGTTGAACCCTTGGGAAGCCAAGGAGAGAAGAAAAAACTCAATATTGTAATAATTATTTAATTAATAGAAATGTCGACTGCGGCTATCTCGTTGTAGAATACCGAACCGACCTAAAAAAAAGATGCATTCTGAATTCAATGTAAAATACATTCGGTCAATATTTTTCTAATAAACAATCTCCGTTGATTTAAAAAAAAATCGAGAAAATTCGTCAAAAAAAGTGCTGTTAAAACGATCATAACTCGCCTTTGGGGCGCAAATATACTGTACATTGCTTGCCCCTAGAGGGCCCAAACGACGGTAACTGGTATCGACATCCCTGAAAGAGGTAGACAGGCGCACATGTTTTCAATTTTGAGGGACCGATGGTGAGCGGGCCCATAAACCCCATAGCGAGTTATGATCGTTTTAACAGCACTTTTTTCACGAATTTTCTCGATTTTTTTTTAATCAACGGAGATTTTTTATTAGAAAAATATTGACCGAATGTGTTTTATTTTTTTTCAGGTATTTTTTTTCAGGTCGGTTCGGCAATTCTACAACGAGATAGCTGCAGTCAACATTTCTATTAATTAAATAAATAATTATTACAATATTGAGTTTTTTCTTCTCTCGTTGGTTTCCCAAGGGTTCAATGAATGTCTGGGAAAATTGACGATTTTTTTTAAATTTTTCGTACGTATGCTAGCAGTTCAAAGTTTGCTGACTTTTACGGACCCAGAAAATCGGGGGGTTTTTCGGCTTCTCACAGCGATTATAAATAAACTAATCAAATTAAAAACTTGAAACTTCGTATTGGGCGAGTGAAATACTTATATTACACAGTGCAAGTGGTCTCATATTTTTACGATTTTTTTTCGTCGAGTTATAGACGTTTATTTCGAGTGGTTTCTACTTTTGACACCGACAGTAGTTATGAAATTCCCTATCTTCTCAAAGTTGACTGACAACCTTGCTGCAAACGAAAAATAAAAGCCCCTTTCGTTTTTTTCTCTCCGTTCATCAAATCCAATTAATTGAGCCAATTAAACCAATTAAATCAAATTAAACCCTGCAGGACAAACTGCAGCCGGCAAAACAATCTCGCACATGTGGGAGCAGGAAAAAAAGCACCGTGAAAAATTCGAAGAATTGATAAAAAAACATCGAGTGCGTCCAACAGCAATGCTACCCCTATGGAATGCAGCTGGGTTTGTTCTCGGTGCTGGGACAGCTCTTCTCGGTGAGAAAGCAGCAATGGCATGCACTGTAGCAGTTGAAACTGTGATCGTGGATCACTACAACGAGCAATTGAGAACACTGATGGAGAGTGGTGATGTGAATCAAGAATTAATGGACACTATACGAAAATTTAGAGATGAGGAGCAGGAGCATCATGATGTGGGACTGGATCATGGAGCTGAGCAGGCACCTTTTTACGATGCATTGACGAATGTCATTAAGGTTGGATGCAAAACAGCCATTGCCATATCCAAAATCATTTGAGGGGGGAGAATGAATCATCAGTGGAATGCTGTGTACTTGTAAGATTATCTTGGGTGAAAAAGTGATGAGTGTTACCTCCTTCGCAGTTGGGACCCTGGAAGCCTGGAGGACAGGAGCAAACTCCTGGGGCTGTACAATTACCTCCATTCATACAGGCTGGATAACACAGAGCTTTTTTACAATGTGGAGGCCCCAAATAACCGTCTGGACATGGGCCAGAATTCGGCTCTGAAAAGTTAAATTGATAGATTACATTATTTCCATTTTTTTAAGACTTTACATACTTTAAAAAAAATATTCATTGGAATGTAATACCCAAACCAATAACTGAAGCATTGACAATTCAAATAAATAATTTGTCTGATCTTATGAATAATCTAGAATTTGTAGTCAATTGAAAGAACATTTATTTTATAAATTTATATTCATTTGTTAATTAGGTAATAAAAAATGTTTCAAGAAATTCATAATCTCATTTTATTTGAATTAGTTGCAGAAATAATCTCGTGTGTAATAACTTTTTGGTTTTTAAGGGGAGCTTACTATGAATTTTAAAAGTCACGGGCTATTGGAATGAGATGTTTTACACATTAAAGATGGATTACATATATGTCTAAAAGCGAATAATTAGTGCAAAAAAATTGTTCATTGTTCGTTTACCCCGCAGATAGTTTTTTGAAATGCAACTCCTACCCAGCTAATTTCGTTATTTTTTAATAAAAAATTGCACCATTCATGTAAAATAGCCCGAAACATGTTTCTGAAAGAATCGAGAATATATTAAAAATATTTTGAGGATAATTTTTCGGCCTATTTTACATGAATAGCGCAATTTTTAAACACAACGAAATTAGCTGTGTAGGACTCGAATTTTGAAAAACTAATCCGTGATTGTGATTGCACACATTTTTTCAAAAATTTTGAAAAAAAAACCTCTGCAGCTTAAAAATTGGAGGCCCTGGACTATTTTAAATATTTTACGCGTCTGCGGGGCAAACGAACAATAAACAATTTTTTTTTGCACTAATTATTCGTTTTTAGACATCTAATCGATCTTCAATCTCATTCCAATAGCCCGCAACTTTTAAAACTGTTTGTAGTATTCCCTTAACTAATCAATTCATGCACTGCATTGTCTGGCTTGAAGCTTCACGTGTATATTAAAGTATATAAAAGAAAATTTAAAGCATGCATTTTTTGTTCTTTATTTTTTATTACTGGTGATACAGAACTGTCTGTGTGAATGGAGAAGTGGTGATCTTGGGCGCGACTGACGCACTCACCGCGCACGGTACATTCTTTTCTCAGGCTGAAATGAAGAGGTGTTCCGTTGAGTGGTTTATGCTTGCGCGTTTCGATCATGAGACCGATTCCAAATTGTACTATGCCGGAATTATTTCCGGAGCATGGCAAATTAATACTGAACTCTGGAAGGAAAAAAAATCCATTAAGAAAATCGCCATGGTCAATTTTTTAGGAATTGTATGTCGAAACCTACACGGAGAAAAAACTGTAGGAAAAATTACGTGACAAAACGTGAGGCGAAATGCGCTTTCGGGAATTTTTACATAAAAACGGAATAAATCCGGAGTGAAAAATACATTTTCCCTCTTGAGTTCTGAGATATTTTATGGATTGAAATGGAATTTTTGCGAATCAGTAGCGATGCATTACAATTAAGTCAAACAAGCGTAACTTGCTTCATTTTCATGGTATTTTTTCGGCAACTTTTTTCTCCATCTATTGAAGACAAGTAGAATTTACATGTCTGATTTTTTTGCAGTTTTCGATGAATTAACATATTATTCTTAATACTAATCACATAGATGGACATACTTCAACACCAATGAAGCATTTCCTCGGCAGGTATAACTCGAGCATTTGGAATTCAAGAAATATTAAATCCATCAATCCGAGTCCTAATTTTATGGGTTATATGTTTTTCATAAATTGTATCATTGGGATGGTACATTACAACCCACAATAATGTGATAATGATGGAGTGCCATGATCCATTGGACATTTCTTGACTTGGCTTTGATTTTTATTTCTTTATTTTTTGCAAAATTTCTATGGGAATTGTGGTTTTTAGAAAAAAGTGTTTCTCCTTTCCAGCAACGACCTCACAAAACTTTTTCTTGGCGCAGTTTTTTTGCCAAAACATTTGTTTTTGTTTTTTCGGGAGATTTCAGTCATTTTTCCAAAACGAGCACACGATCATTTTCGTATGAATCGAATTAATTTTTTTCTGCGGAACAGAAACTATTTTCAATCACTTCTGCTCTAAGAAAAAAAGGTATTTCTTTCCTACATTTATTTATAATTCATGCTCCGATTCGATTTGAGAATTTCATGGGAAAATCAAACGTTCAAATTACCCGCGTGAACTAACCTCAGAAATAAACTCGCCCACATGTTATTCACGGACTGAATTGAGAATCTAAATTAATCGAGGATAGGGGAAAAATTTCCATGCAATATACAGCGCTACATGAATTTGTTCATCAATTTTTCATTAATTTTCACAATAAGTCGATGATGAGTCTAAAAAATGCAATCAGTAGAATTCAAGAAGGAGAGAGAAAGAGTAATGCGCTCTTCAAATCTCCCTCCTCTGCGCGTGAGGTTGGAGTGCACTGCTACGAACTTCGAAAACTAAATCTCATACTTAGTGCTCAGAGATAATGTGAAATGCGAAAATATGGATATGATCTCCTTTTGGATATGGATATGATCCCGTTGCTATGCGCGTAATTTCCTTAATATTAAGTCGAAAAAGAAAATAGTGACATCAATGGAAAGCTCGTGGTTGATTTATGTAATGTAACTAAGGCTATTTTTTTCGTAGGTTATCACGTTTTCATTTTATTCAATAAATATGTTTCGGAGGTAGTGGAGGGGGTAGTTGCTTCGTGTATAGATACCCGGTAGCAAGCGGCGAGTTCCAAAACTTTTCTTGGCCGATACGCTACCGCGTATCTCGATACGTGTAGTTAGAATGTGGGAATTACAATTTCTGTAGATAGGGTTATTATGCAAGCATTCCATGTGTCAAAAGATGAAGGGACTCGATTGTATGTATTGGATAATTTTGCCACGAAAATTCTTTGTCGGTGTTAAAAGATGCCCATGAATGATTAAAAGAAAAACAAAAATTGTTTTACAAAAATTTTCAAGGTGTCGGAAACATATCTTAAAATTGAAAATATTGGAAGAAACCTTTTGTATATACCTCAAGTAAATATCCCGTTTTCTCTTGGTGCAAGAAATTCCTTTCGAGAATGCACCGATAAATGAATAAAATAGTATATTGTGCACCAAGAGCGAAAAGTCAGTACTGTCCTCCCTCAGGAACAACTTTCCACCCTTGAGTGGAAAATATTCAATTTTCTTCCGCTCATCAGAAAGCAAAACACAACTTTTCTTTGCAGGCGTGTTAAAAAAAAGCATGTGCACCTCGGGCGGGGAAAACATGATTTTCAGCCCTTGGCGCACAATTTACTATTATTAGAATAGATCGAGAGCCAGGCGAGATTCTCTTATTTACCAGTAGTGAAACGCGTTTCAGCTTTGGATACACTAGTCAGTAGGAGAGGGGGGGGGGGCTAGACTGAGAAAACCAGTGCACGGACCTCTCTCTCCATCTAGTGCGCTCGTAACGTGAGAGATTCTCTCGCGGTACGCTTAAAAAATGGATAGATATTGAGAGAACTTCTTCACGTTATTAACGAGACCAGAAGTATAATATTTATCGAGAGATGAGTAAATCACAATCCCTACTCGAAACTTACAAGGAACACTACGCAGGTGTCCCCCTCCGATTTCGATGAATCTTAAATATGTTATAGGGGACCCAAAACTAAGGGACACGTATTTTTTTTTAGCTGCCCATCTTGGGTTTTAGGGGGTGAAAGTGCTCTCTGAAGTTGACCACCTCTCGGGGTCATTTTTCGATTGCACACATAAGCAAGCTTTTTGAACAACTCTTTCGCAGTGTATCATGAAGGTCACAAGGAATGATGAAAATGCGAATTAGAACCGTCTCCGGGGGGTGAAATATGGAGGGTAAACTACCCTTGTGAAAATTCATTTTTCTCATAGAAAAAAAACTTTTGATGGAAATCCCATGGGATAAATTCCATTTGAAAAAGTAGAAAAAAATATAGAATACCTGTTTTATTTTTTTAAATCGAAATTTAAAATTTAAAAAATTGATTTTTCGTGAATTGCGAAATTTCAAACTTTTTCCTGTTCAAAACAAAGCGTACGGCTAGTGATGAGGGAAACCATTGGGACAGGATCCAGGAGTGATGTCGGGGAGGTTAACTACCCTTGGGGGGGGGGG